GGGGGGGGGGGGGGGGGGGGGGGGGGGGGGGGGGGGGGGGGTCTTCGACCTGAAAAATCAGGGGTTAGGATTTGCACCCGGTCGAAAGAAACCTTGCTATCGCAAGAGTAACTCCAGCTAGCTTCGCTAGCTTTCGTGAAAAGAAAATTAAAGCATCACAAAGATATGCAAGGACACCCTGAAGGGATTAGAAGACACAGGTTGTTCATGGACTGCAAGTAGTGTGGAACAGCTGGTGAGGTGGGACTTACATGCAGTGAACCTGGTTGAAGAAACGTGGAACAGCTGGTGAGCGCTAAGTCCTATCTCATGTGTCACCACCTGCTGGCATAGCCCAGAAATGATGAAACAAACACATAAAATGCCTCACAAAACCGAAGCATACCATGATGAGACAGGAGTTAGCTACCCGCACAATGGTCGAAACAGCTTTTCCCTCATGAGATAGGAGTTGTCCATTTCGACGTGATGTTCTGAAAGTCCTAACTCATTGGCTCTCAGTATACATATACTGGAAATTTTACACACGAAGCGAAATGATACCGGGCGGATCCGGGTGGTGTGCATCGTTAGGTTCAGTTGAGCTGCAGGAATCCTCACCAATACCTCGAGCAGCGATGGGCTCTTGATGGTACAGCTCGCGAGAATCCACGAATAAACGCTGAGCTCCTGAGCGGGGAAGGCTCACAAAAACTCTCCACTGCCACATCTCAGGAATTGAGGTGGTGTACATGCAAACAAATCCACTGAACATGTGCTCGCGTGACTGAGGAGTTGTCCGGGTTCCACCAAGAGCGTTTCAAACAAGCAGGATGATGAGGACAGCATATGCAGGTCCAGGCTCGATAAGGGATGCTAGTGGCTTTGAAGATAGCAGTCTTGATATCACCCACGCGCCCATCTTCTGGGACCTGTTGACAGCGCGCTATCGATCCTAGTTGGAAGAAAGGATGTGCTGCAATGCAATCAGATAGCCCGCCACCTTGATGGGTTCTGCTTAGGGTGTGTTGCAGCCAAATGATGTGCAGGGGGAGACTCTTGCTTTTTTTGCAAAGCCAGGAGACTTCAATTTCAATCTCTTTGCCGCTGAGAAGCCTTGGCACAGATATCTTCCGAGCAGGAAAGACAACAACGACAAGAAAAACAAACGACAAAGCAAAGCTAAGTGCCTGGGGGAGGCACAAACATGTACCATTGTCGGACTTGCCCCTTGAAACCAGATTCACAGCCATGCTTGTACAACTTTCAAAAGGCTCCCTGGACTTATCAGGTGTGTCGGTTGTGTTGGCATCGCTGCCACTAGTGGGTTGGTGTGCTTGAAACAACTTGGCCTGATGTTTGGTTGATTGATGAAGCATCAGCTGTATGCATCGAAAGGGTCAATCAGTGGCGGGCGGTTAATAATGACTTGTCACGTGGTATCTTGAAACTCTGAGCGGCTGAACGCGGAGGGAGATAGTCTTAGCCTCCTCCGCGTCCACCTGCAGCACGCGGCAAACCCAAAACTGCCACACTCAAAACTGCATCGTGATCTGGTCGAAGATGTGACACCTCCAGGTTTCCAGTCCCATCAGGGTCTTGCTGGACCTGAGATGTGTGTCTCAACAGGGACCAGCGCGGGAAATATTTGTGATCCCAAGCTGAGCGAACGTCCAACAAGCAACACCATTCCGCACTGAGCGAAAAGCGTTACACAAGAAAGCTTGCAAAGTTGCTCCTTCAATGGATGGATTCTTGGTTTGAGCAAATCCTGACACTTTGTCAAGTTGCCATCAGTCCGCCACGCGCTTCTAATGTGGCGAGGGCCACCGCGAGCGCTCATGGTGAATTCTTTTGAGCCACCAAAAGAGCAGAATCCGTGGAAAACATGTTTGTTGCTCATGAACTAGCTATATACTACTACAAACTTATCATCCAGGCATCGACATCCTTTCTACACAGTGCATCATGCGGCGATTGTGGAGACCAAATGTCAGTTGGAGCGCCTTTCAAGAAAGGCCGGTTGGGGGTACTAGGTAACTGGCTTCTTAGGCACCAGGACGCAGACAAGCTCAAGCTCAATGATTCAATGATTCGGCTCACTTAAGTGTTTTGGGAAACTTGATTTACAACAATGCAATCGATCTTGGTGCCATTTCAGGAAAATTGAGACATTGGTTCTTGACAAAGCTTCAAGGAACATGAGAAGCTGCGTATAATATATCTTTCTAAGCTGCTGCCATAAGCTACCTCCACCAGGTTTGATCCCAGCCGCCAGTGCCTCTCCGAAACAGCCGGCGCCAAGCTTCTTTTGCACCTGGATCCTGAGATCTCTCCAGTGCTGCTTGCCACAGCAAACGAAGGCTAGACTTCAAGCACACAAAGTTGACCAAAACTCATTCAGATGGTTTTAAGCGTCACAACAACGGTATGGACTTTCATGAAACACACATACACACAACCAATCAATCATGAAGACTTCTGCCAAGTTGCTGCCCACCATTTAGAGAGGAGGGCACCTTCGGCTTGGCCTCAAAGTGCGTTCCTTTGAAAAGCAAAAACAGCGGAAGAACAGAATTGCAACGGCCAGGAACAACCCTCTTTCACTGCAAAACGGACCAGGATATGGGTATGACCGTTGCATACCCCCACAATTTTGCCAGCACCGAATGGGGGAAGGTGTGCAAAAGACAGTGAAAGTGGTGATACTGAGCTAAGTAATGGCTGCCAAAAAAAACAAAGGCTGCTTTCAGCCAATTAGTGCTGTGGATGAGAAGTATATGTTGTTTTCTAGCCAATTCAATTGATGGTATGGTGAGAGCAGTGCCAAGTACGTCCCAAGATAACAGAACTTCCAGAGTGTTTCAACAACTTAACTCCAGATAGAAACATTCGGGGGTTGTGGAACCAAACCTCCAGCATAAAGACAATTGTGATTTGTGCAGCACCCACTCAAGCTCCAATTGGGACTCCCATTGGGACTTCCATACATGTCTAAATATGATGTATAAATATAGTATATCTATAGAGTATATACAGAATACATATGTTATGTATATGCACAACGAACACTTTCAACCTCTTCCGCGACCTGCTTCGGGCCCCAGGCCGAAGAAGACATTGGCCGCGTGCCTTGGACAAAATGTAGGTCACGGGGAGTCTTGGAGAAACTGCTGACCCACGGAGTCTGAATCTGGGTCGAGCTCACGTTTGCCAGAAGCCATGCATAGTTGATACTTTGGGATGCAAAGTAAAGGCAGTTTGTCAGCTCTCTAATTACTGCTTGAATCAGTGAGCAAAGAAACTTAAAGTCAAAACACTTTGGGCGCAACTGGTTGTTTTCGCATATTGTGTATAGTTTCTACTTATTTGCAAAGTTCGTTCTGGCATGCTTCGCTTCTTCTGGCTGAAGTTGACCGGCAACACTGAAGTCTAGTGGCAACTGCGAGCAAAGGATGTTGTTCTGCCAGTCTTACATCCCATTTCTTTCAATCAAAGTCATTTGTGGCTCAAAAATTCGAGATGCCTAGGAACAAGGGCATAGCTACTAGTAACAAGTGCCTTACTACTAGTAACAAGAAGCTATTAGAAACAAGTGCCTTACTACTAGTAACAAAAAGCTATTAATCTAAATTAATCCTTATCCGGCGTGTTGTTTCCTGCCCGGCTCGTCCCATTGACTCAATTTCAGCTTTGGTCCCCCGGCACTTGTGCCCGCGCCGAGATAGGAATGGGTCAGTTGGTGGGTGTGGCTGTATTGACTAGCCGATGAAGGTGTGTAATGTGTACTTCTGAAACAAATCAAACCACCTCCATCCCAATCGAGTGTTGTGGGCTTTCTGATAGTCGAGGTCAAACCTGGTACACTCACATCAACTTAGCTCTACTTTCGTCGCTTCAATTTGTTCTTGAGCTGAGCAAAGTTTGAAACTATTTTCACAGCCTCCAAACATCTAAAGGTCGACGTTCGCGACCGCTCGACGTTCCCTTGCGCCCTCACGGCTCCAAGGGCAGTGGAGCTTGAGCCGTGACACCACAGGGTCCCAGGAGTGTCCTATCTCCGGGTGGTCGTGCTGGCTCAAAAATATTCAGGGTCCTGCGCTTCTTGTTGAGTGATTGGGGAGGACCGTGAACGTATGGGGCAATTGCCAAGGTTGACTGGGGCCTGTTGTAGGCCGACTCAAGTTGGTGAATGGATTTATATATGATATATGTGATCAAAACATATCAAAACAGTCAAAACATGTCAACCAACCTGCCTGGCTGTGAAGGCTTCTGAAGGAACTCACATTCATCTTCTCAGAAGACATTGAGCAAAACACAATGCTATCGTTGCAATTCATCTACAAACTAAGGTGTCACGCAAGAAAACACACTCCGTTGGCATCCTGTCTTCCAAGGCCTTCAAAGGAGCTCCATCGCCGGGTGATGCCTCCTTGGCCGGACAAAGCAAATGTTTCAATGCTTGAAGCTATGGTAAGCAAATGTATCAATGCATGCAAGCGGAGGTTTCCGGAACTTTTTTTGGTTGTTTTGTTTGCTTTGTTGCTCTCTAGTCTGTTCAACAGGCAAGTAAGGTGGTTCCAGCACGTGTTGTTTGGCACTGACTTTGAGATCTGAATTCCTCGAGTTTACCGCTTTGGGCTAAAAAGAACGAAAAACGTCAATCATTTACACAAAAATACTATTGACTTCCGGTAAACTGATTTTCTTTTACAGAAGACAAAAACAGTATCATGTTGATGGTTGTGATCTTCCAACATGGGAGCATATCATGAAAAATATTATATAAATCAATGCAACAATCATCACCTCCTATCTATGTTTGGAGTTGCATGCCTTTCTTCGCAGTGGTTTCCATAATGTTTAGGTAAAACAACAATACAAATATATATATATATAGAATACAAACGGTATTTGTCATAGTGTTCTATGTTTTCGCTATTTGTTCACGTGTTTGTGTATATCAACAAGTTTTGAGTTCCCCAAACAACTTGGACTTCTGACTTTGTATTTCAGCATTTCAATGCTTTCGTGTTCTGCTCAAACCATTGCTATGCTAACAAACACAGCTGCAAATCAAGCTGAAGCACACACTTGTGCCCGTCATGTGCATGTACTGTACGTTCCAACACTTGTGGTCCACAACTCCAATGGAATTTTTGAAACCAGCGCAAGACCGGGCTCACTCTGTTTGTAATATATCAACATCTGCCCCTCCAGTTGTTTGGGTTTGGATGCCGACTGCACGTAGCATCCTCACGAAGGGTCTCGGCCACGGGATGAACTCAAGCCATGCTTCCCGTGAACTGTTGCATTGGCTTGACCGCCACCAAGGGTTTCTTTTCCAAGGGTTCCGTTTCGTTTTCTCCACTCCTCAACCTTCGTCAGTCTTTGCGATCGACACTTTAACTTCTGATCTATCGGGCGATGGTGTCCTTGCGCGAGGCCACTCAGAGGCTCGATGTCAACCACCACATTAACACAATTTTGCATATTTTGCAGAGTTGTTTCTCCGAGCCTCTTGCAACCACAAGCAGGTCAACAAAAACGTGTAATCGACATCTTTCACATTGAACCGCGCTTGTGTGGACCTCGAGACAGGGCCGCAACTCTGTCCCACACCAGCGGTCCTGTTTTGATTCCAAACAGTGCTGCCTTGTAAATGAAGAATCCGTCAAGCACTTTTCCGGGCAAGCATATCAAGCATCTGTGCTTGTTTCTTCTCACACAAAGGCGTCTGCAAATCCAATCTCGTGAACTTCACCCTTTGCTGTGGCTCTGTCATCTCCATCTCAGCCCGTCCTCCATATCCTTTGGCCTTGGCAACAGAAGCCGCTCCTCAAGCTGTTCGTTGACCCAGGTCATTTGTCGCCGTGATTCTGAAGCTCCTTCCAACCATACTTCCCATTTGACGGCCTCCTCCAGCACTGAGACTCCGCCCAACCGAAGACGCAGCCACTCCAGTACCGCCCTCCCCGACCCACACAGACAATTGAGCCAGGTCGTCAATCCTGGGTTCACGCCCAAAACAACAGGACCACGATTGCTTCTGATTATTGAGAATATACCTTGACACACTGCCTTGGCAAGGCTGGCGGACTATCCCTTGTGTGAACGTGCCCAAGCTTATTCGAGGAATCATGCAAAATGTTAACGTTCCAAACTGTTCAGGTCACCGTGCAGGAGTCATCTCCAATTTGCTGTGCAGTAGAAACAATCCGGGTAGAAACCCCGCACAAGTGGCAACATTCAAAACCTCACCTGCAACTGAATACCTGCACCCCACCGAGTCCAAACTGCGTATTGAAACCGCAATGCCAAACATACGTATCCCCACTGAATCCTTCCAATCCCACCTCCTCTCTCTTCTTCTCCACCCATCCATCTTTGCGCATCTCCCAAACCCCACACTCCATCATAAAAGGCGCAATTCAGTGTGGTAGGTAGCAGGTAGGAGCTTGGTCAGCTTTCACCCTACGGTTGAACTACCTTCAGAAAGGCTGCTTATATAAGCCAGCCTGCTCATCTGGGCCTGCTGATGACTATGGTCCTATGGTCAAGCTCGTCCAACTCATCCAAGCTCGCAGTGGCGATTGCCCGCATAACACGGCAGTCCACCAATCAGCATCTTCGGATCATCCATAGGTCATGAGTTGATGCGTTGGGTTCTGCTCAAGCAAACAAAATTCGAGTCTGGGCAAAAATCACTTTGAAAAGCAGAGATGGCTGTACATGTTTGCCTTAATGCATTTACCCCATGTATTGGGAACGCGGGTTCCCCTAATGCAAGATTAAACAAAGGGAATAGTAATGCTCAAAAAAGTATATAGTTCAATTGCCGCAATCGGCTCGTCTTCATCTGCATCAATAAAGTATTGAGGTTGAATACCACTTGAATTGAAGTGATGATGCCGTAGCCACATTCCTTAAACAAAATAGAGCTGGATCGTTTTGCAGAGCACTAGCGGGTCGACTTACTGAATCGGTGTCAGATCAACACAGCTGTCCACTCTGCAAAACTCTCTTTTCAAAAAGTACAAAGGGTGTGCCATTTAGGCGTTCCTTGAAATCAAGGCTCAGGATGATTCAGGCTAAATGACGCTTCTGGCTTTCGGGCCGCCGGGCTGGCATGGAGAAGCTAGGGAAAATGCCCAGTCGAGCCATCGCGCCTTGGGCATCCACATCTAAAAGCACCAGCTTCATTGTGAATATCAGCTGCATGCTGTACAACAATGCGCTACTAGGAACAAGAGGCTACTAGGGGCTCCTGGCCTTACTACTAGGAGCAAGGATGCTACAGCAAGGACGCTACTAGGGGCTCCTGGCCTTACTACTAGGAGCAAGGATGCTACAGCAAGGACGCTACTAGGGGCTCCTGGCCTTACTACTAGGAGCAAGGACGCTACTAGGGCTACTAGGAGCAAGAACGCTACTAGGGTCCTTTAGGTCAAAGATGTAACCACGCCCTCAAATGATGCTTGCAAACAATCCTTACTTCCACGCCTGGCATGGCCTCTGAGTCAGCCAACCGCGAGGCAAACGGCAGTTTGGGCATCCTGCAATGATTGGAGGAGTTTCCTGTGACAACATGCTTCTAGTATCTTGAAATCGACAAATTCAATGTCCTGTGGACTTGGACCGTTGAGAATTTGTTGAAGCCTGTAAACGATGAAAATCGACCTGGGTCTATGGACGAAGTAGTTTCAATAAAACCAAGTTCCTGAATGCAAGCCATCTTGAAAGATTAATGTTGGAAGAGAAGAAGAATCAGAGTATGACTGCTGAAGTGGATGTGTGTAGGAGCCAAGCAACTGTCTCACTTAACCACATCGACCTGAGCAGTTTTGGCAACATTACACTTTGCTCTTTCTTGAACATGCTAGACATCCAAACCATCCAAATCCGTTGCTGCACCTTTGACCCTGGTGCTCCTTGGCCCATCTTCCTCTTCGCTGAAGAAACCATGCTTTCGGCCGGCCTAGACCAAAGAAAGAACTCTGCCCTCTGTGGGCACCTTCGCCGTTTCATATCTTGCCATTTTGCAGCAAAAAACCTCAAGATACAAAGTTATATATATAGCCCTGGTGTAGTTTAAAGGTGTTAAAAGAAAGGAACACTACCTCATCATACAGAGACGACTGCGTGTGTGTCCGCAGCGTGGCGTTTCTTCAAACAATTCAACCCACAAATTGAGCAGTGCAGCGTCAAGCGTGGCACCTCAGCGGCGGGAAGTGCGGGCAGTGCCGGCAGCGTCAACAGCTGCTTCGGCTCAGAGCCTAAGCACAAGGCCCTGAGCTCTACTGAGCCAACAGCAGCCCCGTTCGGGGCTCCCTCCATCGTTCTACTTTCATGGACTTAGGTCGACCCTTGCAAATTCCTTCTAGGCAATAGTGCAAACCAGGGTGGAGACCCCCAGGGTGGACATACTTTCTGAAGCTGCAGGTCTCATTAGAAGCAGGTTCTATTCAAGGGGCGCAAACATTGTGCTGAATTGAGGCAACTTGATAGTCATGAGTCATACGGATGATATGATGCATTCGAGGCTGATCCACTGGGATTAGCTCCAACATCAGGTGCTTTTTAGCAGTAAATAAGTAACACCTACACACAGAACAGTGAACATGATAGTGCATTGTAGTACATGGTCCTTTAGGTCCTTTAACAAGGATAAGACTGCTTGCCCTTACTGAATTCAGTAGGTGCCTACTTAATTAAGTAAGCAAGGGCTTTAAAAAGTCATGGAGTCGAGTGAAATGCAGTGAAGGTGGTCAGGTGGTACACCGAAGGTGGTTTGGGGGCATTTGAATTAAGGCGACTCTGGGCTCCAAAGCTCTCTTCACTTGCATCCTGCGTGCGGGACACCGGAAACTCCAAGCGGCTGTCGAGGAATGCTGCAGGGGATGACCCAAATTCGCAGAGACAGCATCAGACAGCTTTTCGAACAATTCGATAGTCATGGCCTGCAATGAATTCAACCGAGCAATGCCCAGAACTGTACATATCTGCAGCAACATGTCGACAAACAGCTACACCAAAAAAGGATGCAAGAACCTTCCGTCTTGAGTCTTGGATATATATATATATATATGTGTGTAATATATATAATATTATACAATACAATATATATATATATAAACAAACAACAATGATTAGCAGCATTGGTGCGGACAGGCTCCCTCAAACCGCGACCTTTACAAATTGACTGCAACTGACCACTAGAATTTGACAATGGTTCCGTAGAAGACTAGTGTCTTCACGGGATTTATTCCATGGATTTGGGGGAAGTACAGGTAAATGGTCAAAGATTGTTCGTACTTGGCGCAGCTGGGCGCACCACACTTCTGGCCAAAGTTGGAGCTGATAGTTTGGGAATGTCCATAAGCACAATCCACACGCTTGTTCTACTTGCCACCAAATATCCCTTAATATTACACCAGTTCTCAAAGTCTTCTTCTTGCGTGCAATGACATGCTCCTGACGAAGCCGCAAGGCTCTATGACCTGTTAAGGGCGCATGGTTTGGTCCACGTCCTTTCTAGCCAAGGAACTGGATCATCTGAAGCCCTGGTGAAACTCTACCCCTGATAGGGGCACCTACGGGCCAAACTCTGCACACGGCGAGCTGGCCAAGTAGTGACTTGTGGCATGCCCTGAGGCACATGCCATGTTCACAAGTTGAGGTTGGCTTGTTCTCGTGATTAAAAGGAAGGTGATGCAATTTCCACACCATTCGGAAAGCCTTAAGCCTTAAGCTTTGAGGATGAGTTTGGGGCTGGGACAATGGCATGTGCTCCACAGGTCACTCAGCAGGTCCTCCAACCCAAGCCTGGCATTTTGTCAAAGCAGTTAAAGCATGACTGTGGCGTACATTGTCATGAGGTGGTTTGTCGAGGAAAACTCTTTTTGCGAACATCGTGACCCTTCTCGAGCTCGAACACTCTTGGTTTCTTCAACATATATATATATATATTCCCTCTCCGACAGCAAGCTCAAACAAGAGGGATGGGCAAAAGTTGAACAAGGAGATGTTGGATGGGGCACCCAATCTCGCAGGAGAGTTCTGATGACTTTGCAGTTTCTGACAAGTCCTCCTGAATGTCTTTGGGAAGAATCCCACGTGGTGCTCACCGCACAAGGAGCCTGCAACCATGAACGGGCGTGTTCAAAACGTGCTGATTTGCAGAGCCAGCCCCTCCTTCTTGAATATTGCTGATCAAAAGTCTATATAGTGCTTGGGTTCCTGCTACACCACGGCTACCACAATGACAGGAGAGGATGATCCAGCCCATGCACCTGCATAGGGCTTATGCCTGCCACCACTTGCCTGGATGTGTCATTACTGTCGCTGTGCATTCAGTGCAGAAAGATCCAGCCACACTGGTCCTAGTGTTGGCTACTAAGGCTTGAAGCAAATGAATAATGCTTATCTAACTTCCGCTTGCTGCCAGCAGAGAGGCCTTTTGATTCATATACCCCGGAAGTTGCTCAAGAGAATATTGTCAATGGTCACATGCCTACCTGAGCACATCCCGCTCCAGCAGGAATAGTGGTGACACTTCGACCTCGGTCAAGCAAGCTACCCATTTACTTTGGTGCCTGGGTTTAGTCAAAGAAGCTCTCGACTCTTTAAGCAGGTGATGGCATAACTCTTGCGCAAACATGTCCCGACGCCGTGCATGTGAGCAAGCAAAATGGTCTTAGCGCAAGTCAGAAGCTCTCAACAAGGGGTAGCAATGGTTGGAGAAGCACACACAATGCAGAATGCAGAATATGGAAGCTGGTACTACTGTTAGTGGAAGCGTTAGAACCTTAATTCGATCACCATCTTGAGATCTTGTCTGAGCTCCTTGCATTCCGCAAATGTCTGGACAAAGTTGGGAAAACCTTGAAGCAAGCTGCACATGGAATCTCTTTTTTGCCGTCACAAGAATACACTTTTGTCAGACAGTCATAGAAACTGGAAAGTCTTCCAAATGACTAGCAGCAAATTCTTCGGGCAGCTGAGGGGAGCTCTTAACGCAGTCCTTCTCAGTACATTTGTTTTGTCAATACAAGCATTTGGATTTCACAGGGCGATCATAGGCTCTCAAGAATGCAACCAACGTGAGTGGCTTCAGAAACCCTACAGCACCTTTCAGGTCATGTTGACAGGGTTTTACATAGGGTTTGTGGTCCACCTGGTCCTTCTCATAGCCGGGCAGAAGAAGCTCGTCGATGGACTGGTCACTTTTACTGTACCTGACGCAATGGCCTCCAACTCTCAACCTGTGTTGGAGACATGATTTGATACCGTCCGAAATCCTGAATCCTAATGATGCCGTCTCCGAAAAAGGTCCTAGTAGCGTCCTTGTTCCTAGTAGTTGCTCCTAGTAGCGATGCCAGGAGCCCCTAGTAGCGTCCTTGCTCCTAGTAGCGATGCCCTTTGCTCCTAGTAGCATACCTTGACCAAAATATTTCTCCAAATTCAAACTCTCAGTCTCCTCCCAGGTCGGTCACCGATGCGGAACGCTTTGCAGCGGAGTCGTGAAGTTGCTTGGAAGACCCAGAAGCATTACTGAGCCTACGAGGGGCGCTGGCCACGAAAAGGGGGAGTATTCAACATGCACCTCAGTATTCAAGGCTCTCGCATGCTCTCTTTACAGTTTGGTTCAGACGTATGATGCAATCGCTTACGGTCATTGCGTCAAAGACAGTGTGTCTATTCTTTGTGCAGAGTATCCGCCTCACCGGAACATTTCGACGAAAGGACTTCAAAAATTCAGGGCAATCCCTCATTGGGCTCAAGAATCACCAAGGCTAACTACTCAAAGGTTCAGCAACCACCTCTGATAGCCGCACTCTTTGGTGTAACTCCAACGAGACTGAGCCTGACAAGATTCAGTACCCTGCCTCCCAGTGCCACCATGGGACGGCCATCATGACCTCAAACAACGGGTTGATTGTCCAATGCAAAAAGAACCTTTAAAGAACCTGATAGCGAGGGCTTCCAACCTAAGAGCGATGGCCTCCAAACTAATAGCGATTGCCTCCAACCTCTCCAGCCTAAGAGCGATGGCCTCCAACCTAATAGCGATGGCCATACAATCTTGACAGCAAAGCCAAGAGTCTCTGTGTCTGTCAGCATTGGTATGTGGCCCAATATGCGCCCAGTCGTTGCATATACATTAGCCCCTACCATCCTCAGGAAACAGTATCTGTTTACAAACAAAGCAGTACAATCTTTGAGGGCTTGAGAAGTTGGTTCTCATTGTGGGTCAAGTGCCCTACCATCTAAGGACCATACCCACAGAGAGCTCGCAACATGGTTGAATATCCACCACTGCACCAGGCCGTGGCGGTTCACCTGCAGACGGAGAGGGCCTTAAATGAAACCAAAAAGGCAAGACAGATCGAAACAGAAAGGTTCACCTCAGCTTCATCTATAAGTACAAGAAAGAACAGCTGATTGCACAAGAATTGTCTGCTATGTATCTTGCACATTATGCTGCTCGATTGACCCCTTCCTAGCATGCTTGTTTCTTGCTGAATGTTACTTCCAACCATCCACCCATGGCTGTGGGCTAGAGATGGCTAGAGGGCATGATGTGGGCCATCAGACCACAGTCACAGAATCTACCTACTCATATCACGTTGATCAACTTTGGCTTTGTCCGTCTCTCCATGATCTGACGCCTTGCAGCGAAATGCTCTTCACTGAGCCGTGGGTTTGTTCAGACAAGTCCCAGACCTCATGTGCACTGATCATTTTTGCTAATTATTTGATCATGTATCCGAGGAGTAAAAAGAACTTATGTCCGGCAGCGAGCTTGTGTCGAAACCAAGGCGAACCTAACGGCAAGGCCCAGACGCAACCATTTCCACCATGCGTGCGAAGGAAGTAAGGGGAGCAATCACCGACAGCTAGAAGCCAACATATCACGAATCAAACGGTGGAACAATCGAACAGCACCCCCAAATTCATGTTGATTCGACACCTCACGAGGAAGGATGCTGTATTGGCTTCTTGAAGTCGGATCTTGGCTGAAGCTCCTTTGGAGCGTCGCCTGGCCATGGGATCATCTTTGCGGAGTTTCAATTCCTCCTTTTCGTCCCAGAGAACCAGTTTCGACGTCCTCAACAAATCTTCTAAAGCTCCATTCGATCTAGTGATATCAGCCTTGGTCAGGCCGTCCGCGATCATGCGCGGGTGAGGAGTCCAACGCACCACACTCTGAGCTTTTTGGAGTGACTCCAGTATTATGCTCAGCTCCACTGAAGTACGTCTATCTTGTCGAGACATGGGCGATTGCTTGAGGAGAGCGTCAAAAAGGCTCTTGGCATCTGTAACATGACATTGTTGCAACCTCTCTGCCAGCTGACAGTTCTCTCTAAGCACTGGTAAATGAGGCGTGAGCGACTCAGTCCAATCTCTTCGAGAAACGTCTCCTTTGACTATGTCTCTGATCACGATCTGAATCCACTCCACCTCGCCCAATGACTGGTTGAACGCCAGCGCTTCTCCAGCAAGGGTAGAAGCAACTTTTCGTCTGAGTTTGCACGACCGCCAACTCAACACACTGACCTTGATCTTCTGCGATGCGCTCGGAAGTCTGTCCGCGGCCATGATCACCCAAGCTCCTTGAACGGTGTCAACCTCGTTGGAACCTGGCGAAGGAAGACCATCCACACCTCCGGCGTCTGACGCAGAGATCAATATCATGTCTTGATTGCTAAAGGAATGAAGTGTCAGCTTCTGTTGCGCTGTGTTTCGAAGATGAGAGATCAACTTGTTGAGACAGCACACGTCATGAACAGCAGCTTCCTTAAGCCGGGAGGACAGAATGCTGACGGCTCCTGCCGCCTCAGGACGTGTTTGATGAGCAACCCAAGCCACCCGGTAGAGCATGGATCGAAAACTCTCGAACTCATCAGGCATCAAGGGGGCTGACTTGTCGGTCTTCCGTCCAAGAGACAACCTGACAGGGTGCAATTTCTCAATGATGTATTTCTCTTGGTCCATCTCTATCTTGCCAGGGAGGATCTTGACATGGCGACCCGCAAAGTCGGCTTCGTCATATTCCATCTTTCCAAACCGAAAGCGTTTGCTCAGCTGTTCAAGCAAGGGTTCTCTCAAGTTCTTCCGGGCTACCACATTCAAGTCATCAACTTCCACTAGAACCATGGCTTCTACTTCGCCCTTGTCGTCTCGGCGAACATACCAACACGGTTCCAGAAGACTCCTCTCAAAGCCAAGCTCCGTCAGGTAGCTGATCACTGTCTGATGCCACCTGAGAGGAGCGTCCTCAAGGCCATACACAGGAGCCACCAATTGTATCAACGTGCCAGCTGGAAGTCCTAGTCCCTCACACGCTTCAACATAGAGCTCTCCTTGAGGTCTTACCAAGGGTTCAGACTGACAGAATGCCTGAGTCACATCGCAGAACGTGACTGTCAAGTCCATGTTGGTGCACAGCTGAAAGAAAATGGAAATGCTCTCTGTCATAGGCATGGGTGAATAGGTGGAATATGTGCCACTATCAGGATCACTGTGACCCAAAACGCACCAACGTGATTTGAACTTCCACTGGCCAAGACCTGGCACGGGCTTCTTTCTTCTGACGAACCTGGATTGCAGAATGCGATGAGGACATTGACGTCGCACCTTCTTGGAGTCATCTGGGCTTAGTACCTTGACGGCCTTCAGGTCCAAGATAGTCTTCCATTCTGCTTGATCAGCTGCCTCAAATCCTCGTCTTTCTTCGCAGGTGGCCTCCTTCATGTTGAACTCTTGGTTTTTGGTCTTGATGGGCTTCACCATCAAACACTCATTCTCCACCTTGAACTCGAGGAAATTCAAGGCCTCCTTGCTCATCTCAGCCAGAAGTTCTTCTTTCCAGGCGATCATGGAATTCTCCTGTTCTTGTTGAGTTCGACATGGAGCGGAGTCGGTAGAGGCTGAGGCCGTAGAGCCTCCTTCTTCTTTCTCCAGAGTTCCTGATGAGATTGAACGCGGAGCTGACGTTTCTGACCTGACTTCTTTTGCTTCTTGAAGTTTTCGGATCTTGTCCTCACGCTCCAACCTCTTCAGAGTACGGAGAGCTATTTGCTCTAGATTCTTTTGCTCTTGATCTGAAAAGGTCCTCTTGGAGCCACCTCTTGGAGTCTTGGGTTGAGATACTGATTCGATGATCTTCTTCTTGCATGGCTGGTCATCATCTTGATCCCCATCTGATTTTCGTTTTGAGGTCATGGAGGCCTCGCTTTTGGAATGACTTGCTCCTGAATCCAACGAGTCTCCTTCCAAGACAGGAGGTCTCAGACCTCTGCTGTCCCTGCCTCTGCACTGTTTGCAGACTTATCTTGACTTCGATTGGGCATGCTCAAGGGCCGATCAATCTCCGAGGATGGAACTGGATGAAGCTCGACATCTTCAGGAGGAGGTCCCTCGGATGACACATCGACTGCACCCGCCTTGCTAGATCTGCCTTGCTTGATCAGCTCCTGTAGTTCACCTGCACGAGCCATATCTGCACCTATTGACTCATGATGCGATGCTGGCCTCAGCTGATCACTGTTGCATTTCCAGAGGCGAGCCCGCATGGAAACCCACAATGTCCAGCTTGAAGAACAACTATTCCTGGGCCTGTCCATCTGGCGTGAGTGAGATGTCCTTGCCCTGTGCCAGGAAACTTTCGCCACACGTAGACCCGCTGGCCTACGGCCCAATTTCTCTGCTTGTGAATTCGCTGCCTGGTGGCGAGTCGAATCTTCTCCTTGCTGGTGGCACAGCTGCTTGGCTCTTTGCCTGATGTGATGTGACCTGTTGAAGGCAGCTGCGGCGGTATCTTGATCATAAGCGTCAGCATCAATTTCTTGCCAGCCCAAGTCTTGCGTTGCTTCGTCTGACAGCAGCTCGGTAGGCACCCTTGGATTGGTGCCAAACCAATTGGCATGGGCTATACCCACCCCGAGAATACCATCTGTTCTTGCAGGCTACCATGGACAGAACGAGTTCCTCTAGGTCTGCTTCGTTTGTGACCACACCCTGTCCAGACGCAACCTCCAATTCAGCTCTCTCCTTGACCCAACCTCCGTGGCGCTCAACTTTTCCGTTCTGCCATGGAGACGCAGCGTCAGTGATGATCTGGAGTATTCCGTGCTGTTCTGTCTTCCGTTCAAAGTCTAGTTTGAATTCGGAACCACCATCACAGATCAGAGTCTCGGGAATGCCATATGGTTGAACCCAAATTCGGTGAAAAAGTCTCCACGTTTCAACCGAGGATGGAACACCTCCGTCATAGCTTCTCAGGAGTCCAACTTGCTGATAATTGGTTCCATGACACACGGCATTCAAGAAAGCATAGGTGCGGTTGGAGAAGGAGAGGAAAAAATAGTCTATTAAAAGCGAAAGTCCTTGGAACTGCAGCGAGACGTCTTTCCACGGGTTTCCTTTGTCTCATGCATGAGGAGCACTGAAATCTGTCACGAACATACTTCAGCACGCCTTCTTTGGCGTTGGCCGCTCGCAGCATGAGCAACATTTGATCACGTGAGAGATGTCCCATGTTGCAGTGAAGTAGCTCTATCTTTTTCTTCTGCTCAACTGTCAAGCTCTCGGATGAATCTCTATGCAGAGTACCTGGAGTCCTTGGTTGCCTCTCACCCATGTCCTCGTCGTCGTCTTCATCGGCGAGAACGTCATCCAGCAAACTCTGATGTGCCTCGAGCGATGCCGTCCAGCTTGGCAGACCGCTCTCCAAAGGAACATGACCATGCGACTTCGTGCACTGATACTGTGAGAGAAGGAAGGCCACTCCAAGATGGTTGGTCATAAGACCTGTGGTTTTCCGGGACAAACCCGTGGGCGTCACTCTGAGCCCAAGCTCGCATTGATCAAAAAGAAAATGATGAACCTGATCCTGCTTGGACAGCCACTGAGCTCCATGCGTCTGCCACGAGGAGGCTCCACCCGGTTGCTCCAACACAAAGGAGCGACCTCTCTGTAGCTGGTAGTCAGCCACCTGCAAGCATAGTTGCCACATGACCAACGCCTGCATCTGATCTCTGGTGAGCCTCTCTATTGGGATGCGTTCCAGGTTGACGTTCATCAACTGGCTGAACATTCTGCAGTCAGGACTCATGATCACGACGTCGGGCTTTTGCTCTTCTAGTATCTGCCACATCTTCTTTCTGTCTCTCCACTGCAAGGCGTCCCACCCAGAAGTCAGGTCCAGGTTGGATGGCTTGGTAGTCTCCAGTCCTGCCTCCAGAGCTCGAAGCGACAGCCGTGGAGGTGAAAAGAGCTCCAAGATCTTTGGCGGTCGTCGACCCATGTTGACCAGGTCGCCATGGCAACACGGCCGCAAGCAACTAATCCGCTGGGCTCTAAGCTCCGCAGAGCTAGGTCGATCGACGGCGTCCGAACGACGGGGCCTACAAAATGAAGGCCGGGCTATCGTTCTCTCTTCTTTGCTTTGCCCCTTGGGGTCTTGAACTTTCTTGTCCGGCCTCTTGGGCTCTTGTCTTCTTTCTTGTTTGCTATCAAGCTCTTCTAACGGTTCTTGTGGCTCTCCTGAGCTCACTAACTGACTCGGGCCCTTTGGCCCCTCTGGCAACACGGTGGAAAGTTTCTCAAGCGAATTCAACAGTGCTCGCTTCTGACGGCGTGAAAGGTGAGTTTCAGGTCCTTCGGGAAAATCATCACAAACAAGCCTACCGCAGAAATCGTCGTCCCTAACAACAAAAACGTCCCTCTCAGTACCATCAGACCTGAGTTGCTTACCGATGAAACAACAAACATTTTCCCGGTGGCTCAAGAAACGAAGAGAATTTCGATGGCAAGGAACTACCAACCACGTGATGGGACAGTCTTCTGTACACTCAAGGGTCCCGGTCGCTGGCATCGAAGTGAAACATACAACGGCCGACTCTCTCAGATCTAGTCCATCCGCCCCGGCGCAGCGCGCCCCGGCGCATGCTCCGGAATCTGGTCCCAGTCCTCGTCCTCGGGAATGCTCACCTGTTGAGCCATCGCGAATCCCTGAGCCAGAAGTCGATGAAGCTCCTCTGGCGCCAAGGCTGGAAACGCCGCTCCCGGTTGAGTGGCAGGGTCCGTCTGCTGCATGATGCGTTGCTGCTGCATGAAGAGTTGCTGAAGTTGGATCTCCTGACGCTCTTGATTTCTCTGAGCTTCCTCGGCCTGGAAGCGGAGAGCTTGATGGAACCCCTCCACCACTGGAGTCATCACTTGCGACATGATGGAGGCTGTATTCTGAAGGAGCTGCTCGTTTTGGCCCCGAAAAGCGCTCTCCAGATCTGGCATGAGGCTCATGGTCGATGAACTTGCCTGCACCATGGGAGTCCTCGGAGCAGCCGCTGGTGTCTTCGGAACATAGGTCTCGACGGCTGCCGTCCGGCTCTTCCGAACAGCCGGCGGAGGGTTGTCCTTCCCATACTTCTGGTACCCCGTCTTCTGCTGGCATAGATTGCAACACGTCCATGTGCCATGCTGGTTGGCGCCGCGCGTCTCGTACTCCTTGGGGTGTCGACAGCCCTTCAGCACAGCCTCTGAACTTGACATCATGCCCTCCGAGGGCCCGGGGCGAGAGGTCGTGTAATCTCCCGGCTGCTGTCGTATGCCCAGCGTCTCGAGCGTACCCGGCCCCCGGTTCAGGATGAGAAGCTTCCGAGTGAAGTGGAACCAATGGTTCTCGAGCGTCTCCCGGTCGGCCTCGGATCGAATACGCGGGACTTCTTCACCCGTGAGTTGATGATCCCAAAGGACGCCATGAGCACCTTTCGAATGTTCTGATTGGGCTCGGAAATCGTAACAGCGAAGATTGCGCTCTGATGCTCTTGAGGCGGCGGGGGATCGGCCACAGCTCAAGCGGGACACGCTTTCATCACTCAAATTCAGCTGAATCATCTTCTTGGAAAAAACTGACACAATAAATGCTTCAGACCAATGCTGATCAGTGAAGTCCAAAGGGCATTCTGTTATTTCAATGACTTGTCTCTCAAAAAATCAAAAGGCTGCACTCGTTTCGATCGTTTCGTTTTGACGTTTGTCACAAGGTGTTGCGTTTCGCTCAACCAAGCAAGCTTCATGTGCAGTGACAACCCATGTGGTGCGAAAAAGGAACGACTTCAACTGCTCACTGAACGACCGTGGCTCAACAAAGTTTCCTAAGACTCTGTCGCAAGTGAAAACGCACTCCTCCGTAGCCAAAAAATTCTCCGTCAGACCTACCTGAACAAGAAAATGATCAAAGACTGGCGGACGACTGAGAGCAGCCATATATGCTTCACTGGCGGTCGCGAGCAAGTTGAAATCGCCTGGATTCAAGCGAAACTTTTGGGCCAAAGACGATGGAATTGGAAAGTCACCGCCTGGCCACTCAGCTACGTTCAAAATCCTATGTCCAGAAGGCAGCCTGTGCATCTTGGCACGAGTGTTGAACTTCTTGAAGTCGATCTGATCCGTACTCGTGTCAATGACTGCCTGACTGAACTCTAGGAGGCCTATTGACAAAAGCTGAGGCACATCATTTTCCACCACCGTCAACTTGACCACTTTGACCTCCCAAGATGCACGGAGCCAAAGCCATGAAGAGCGTCTTCGCGGCCCCTCCAACACCTGAGGCCTTGGGAGGTTCCTCCTGCAGCTTGATGGTCTTCAGACCCACCTGCTTCAGCTTGTTCTGCAGCTTCTCATAGCTAGGTAGGCCTATGAGATCTTGGGAGGCTCCCGGATCAATGATTGCCTGACCTGCGTCCAGGGCCAAGAAGTTGACATGTTCGGTGAACTGGTAGTTGACAAAGCTCTCCACCAGAAAGCTCGCAGCATCCTCGACTGCCTCAGAGAGACCTAAGTAGGCAAAGGCGTTCACTTTGGGGTTTCTGTCCTTGCTAGATCGATTCCCTTCTCGAACTGGCTCTGAACAGTCTTCTCTCCAGCGGCCCTTCTTGCCGCAATTGCCACAGAAGGTGACTTTCTTGAGCTCTTCTACGGACATTCGACGCTTGTGAGAGGGTCTCGAGGGCCTAGTAGACTTGTCATCGAAGTGCCGGCGGTCTTTCTTTCTCGCGGCCTTAAGAAGTTTGTTTTCCTTCCATGTTCTTCTTCGATCTTGCTGAAGATCCGCCATCAGCGAGAACGCCTCATCCTCGCCAATCTCGCCGGCCTCCACCGCCCAGAAGATCTCCTCGTCATCGACCTCGGAGTCCGTGTCATCGGACTTAGACGTGTCC